ACTGCTTTCCAAAGTGGTTGAACAAGTTTACACTCCCACCAACAATGCAGTAAGGTTCCCTTCTGTTCACATCCCCTCCAGCATCTGTTGTTATTAGAGTTCTTGATTATAGCCATTCTAACTGGGGTGAAGTGGAATCTCAATGTTGTTTTGATTTGCATTTCTTTTATGGCTAGAGAAGTTGAGCATTTCTTCATGTGTCTATTGGCCATTCTTATTTCCTCTTTAGAGAAGCTTCTTTTTAAGTTGATGGGGTGGTTGTTTGAGGATTTGTTGTTGGGGGATTTAGTTTTTTGAGTTCTAAGTATATTTTAGATATGAGACCCTTGTCCATTTTATGGCTAGTGAAGATCTTCTCCCAATCCGGGGGCTTTCTATTGATCTTGCCAGCTATGTCCTTTGCCATGCAGAAACTTTGCAGTCTCATGCAATCCTATTTGTCAACCTTTCTTTGATTTGGTGTGTTTCTGGTTTTTTTTTTTTTTTTTTGGGTCTGGTTGTGGGGCCTGAACTCTGGGCCTAGGCGTTTTCCCTCAGCTCTTCAACTCAAGGGTAGCGCTCTACCACCTGAGCCACAGCGCCACTTCCGACTTTTTTTTTTTTTTTGCTTATGTGGTGCTGAAGAATCGAACCCAGGAAACTCAGGCATGCAAGGCAAGCGCTCTACCACTGAGCCACCTTCCAAGCCCCTAATTCTGGGTTTTAATTAAGAAAATTTCGGCCTGTGCTAAGGAGCCCTAGAGTTTCTCCTATTCCTTCCTGTAATGTCTGCTTTAACTTTGAGGTCTTTGACCCATTTGGAGTTGATTCTGGTGCAGGGTGATATATAAGGATCTAGTTTTAGTTTTCTACAAGTGTTTAACAAGTTTTGCCAGCAGCATTTACTGAAGAGGCTGTCTTTCTTCCATTCTATTTTTTTTTTTAGCTCCCTTCTCGAAGATTAGGTGGTTATAGGTCTGTGGGTTCATTTCTGGGTCTTCAGTTCTATTCCATTGGTCCTCAGGTCTGTTTTTGTGCCAGTATCAACCTGTTTTGATTACTATGGCTTTGTAGTAGAGTTTGAAATTTGGTATTGATATTCCTTCAACACTGTTGTTTCTGCTAAGGGTTGGTTTTGCTATTCGAGGTCTTTTATTGTTCCATGTGAATTTTTGGGTTGCTTCTATTTCATTGAAGAATGAGGTTAAAATATTGATAGGTATTGCATTCAATTTGTAGATTAGCTAGAATTCCTTAATCACTCTTAAATTCTTACATTTCTCCCATCTTCCTAAACCTATTCATCCCAAATAAAAGGAAGACCTATAATTGTTGGGCCAAGTAGGCTTTCTGGCTTATAAATTCTGTAGAAGAATGTTCTGAAATGTTCAAACATCCACAGACGAATACCAATTTTCTTCTAGTACCTGTTATTCTTCTTGTATAATGTCTTATGATACTTGAAAGAGAGTTGTCTCTGAGATATTTGGAAAATCTATCCATTTGGGCTTTAGTGAGTATGTTGTGCTACATGCCTCTGCATTGGCACCAGTCTTAACTGTTTGGGTCAGAAGTCCAAAGTTACCCAAGCTGGGATATACAAGAGTCTTTTTGTCTGAGGGGGTCAGAGGGCCATTCATGTGATGAGATTGCCTTTATTGGAAGTCCATATGTGCAGAAAATAGCTAAAGCTAAAGCTAATGCAGGCAGGGCATTGTGAGAGTCCACACAGCCCCTGAGGAAGAGCAGCCCTCTTGTTTGCAGATATTATATATTGCCTGGCTCCAATCCCAGATGCATGCTGGCTCTTAAGTTTTGAAAGAAACATCTGTGTCTTGAAAATAAAATGGCACCTTTAAAAATTGCTAAATAATTCCACAGGGTTTCTAGTACTTTCAATTAAGTACTAGAACAAAAGCCAAAGAAGACTCCTTTCAAAAGCTTTTGTAAACAGCAATACTACCTTCTGCAGGATTTTCTCATTTGTGCTTTCTCCCTGCCTGTAACACCTCATTACTCTTACAGGCCTACCACCCTAACCGTCAACAACTTTAACAATCTGTAAACAGCTTAAGAAAAGAGGAAATGTCTTACATGTGCTTATATTGCTCCACTTTCCATTATAGTACAGGGCATATAAATATTCACTACATTTCCCTCATCAGAGATAGTAATTTGATCACCTAGAGTCTGACCTGAACCTGAACATAAATTATTCTGGCCTTTATAAACAAAATCTATTTTAGCATGTATTTATGTCTATCACTGCTAATACTTGTAGTTGCTTTTTAAAAGAACATTCTATAGTATCCAGTATATTGACTTCATGTCTACTTTATTTGATTGCCATTTATTTGGCTGATATTTCCATGAGTTTTGTGGAGAAGCCAAGTCAAACTTTGACCAAAGCACTTTGGTAACCGCAAAGGGAGCTAAAATTGTAAAGTAATATCTATCTCCACAATTCCACCAGCAATACACTTCCCAAAGTCATCAATGATGTTTTTGTTAGGTCCAGTGTACATCTGACCTTTCTTTACAATCTCTCATTGTTAATGGATTCCTTCTTGTATTTCCTTTCTTGACTGACTTGGCTGACTTCTCTGTCTCATTTTTCTTTTCAGGGTCACATCCTTTGACTAACCTTCATCTCCTTTTCACTTATCTCTCATTCAGTCTTGCTGAATTATTCTCTTTGATGTTTCTTATTTTTCTATCTCCCAGGCTGTGTTTATTTCTGTGACTTTTACTTGTTTTATTTAGATAAGATGCTGACTTCTAAACATCATTTCAGTTTTAAGATTTCTACTTTGATGTATCTCAATTTCAAACTTACTACACACCAAACCATAATCTTTTATCTTTAGCCTCCCGTAACTGAACAAAACTCTGCCTTTCATTTTGTATTTTCCTCTCTTCCTGAACTACCTGCAGAATGGATCATTTTGAAATTGATCATAGCAAATTGTGTGTGTTGACTTTTGCTCCTTCCTCCTCCATCAACCACATCTTGTGACCCTTCTACATTCTTAATATCTCTATAGTTTTTCACTTGAATAACTAAATAAGGACTTGCAATTTAATCTAACACTTGCTACTTCAATTTTGTTTCTATAATTTACACTTATTCTATAAATAATTGTTTAAATTGGCAGAGTGAGGACTCTAAGTAGATATAACAGAATTTCTGTGCTCATCCTTGCCAAATTGTTCCCATAAAAAGTGATTCTGGGAGGGCTGGAAAGAAAAAAGGAAGGCAAGCAGAATTTGATGGTGTCCTCTCTACTATTCTCCCAAATAAGTTCCCCAAACTTTTGTTACTATGTTTGTCTGATACTTTACTTGACATTTTCCATCTTTGAAAAAGAAGAACTTGTTTTATCATAGCTAGACCACAGAGTTTGCACTGGGCAAACTACAGGAGCCCAAACTTATCAGGACAGCTTAGGAAAATGAGTCATAAACATTTTATGTCAACTGAGTTAAAACCAACCATGATCCATTTTTGTTCATTTTATTTTTAGTTATTAGCTGGAAAAGGAGAACATGCATATTATAAACAAATGCTCCGTTGAATAACATTAATGACTAATCAAATAAAATCAAGGGTTGAAAGTTTTGGCTAAAATGAGTTTTGAGTGTTTGTTGTACCAAACTTATTTCCAGAGGCAAAGTAGAGAAACATCTGGACTTAAATGTATGCATTATGTAAAACTTTTCTTTTTCTTCTTTCTTTCCTTCTTTCTTTCCTCCTGCTCCTCCTTTTTCTTCTTCTCTTCATTATTATTTTCTTTTGTGGTACTGAGGATTGAACCTAGGATGTTGTACTTGCTAGGCAAGAGTTTTGACCCTGAACTATATCCCAGCCCGAGAAGTTTATTAAGAAAAAAAAAGGAAGTAGATGACAAATTAGGTTATTACTTATCTCTCCATTTTCACTTGCTATTATCAGTAACTGAAGAAAATTGCTTTATCCTTAGTAAGAATGTTGTTTTCAGTCCCAAATATCCTAAAGACGTTGTCATAAGACTTATAAGCACTTGTTCTATCCCCAACTGGGGGAGCGTATGGGCAAGTCCCCGAAATCCCAGGGCCTCAGTTTCCTGAGGAATAAAGTAAACCGTATTAATTAAATCACAAGTTCTCATCCCCACTGATGGTATTCATGGCAAGTGCGCCTAAATAAGGGCAGAAAAGGCATCCTGATTCCGTGTGCCAGTGATGCTGTGGGAAGTTCCTCATTAAAGCCTCATTGAGACTCAACAGCAGCCCATTTCCCACAGGGACAAAAGATAAGCCTTTCTTTCTTTCTTTCTCTCCAACCTGCTTCTGAAGTAGTCCACAGCATTTGGGAGGAATGGGATATTCAAAAACATCACAGCAATCTTCACTGACATTAAGAATACAAGTTAAAAGTCCCAGCTGGTGTTTGGGACAACATGGAGAGAGGCATTCGAGCAAAAGGATATCTCTTTAACTCTGGACGGTTACCTCTATCTTTCTTATCTATCTTACTTACCTATATCTATCTCTAAATCTATATCAATCTGTCTATCATCTGTTGAGAGAGAGATTTACATCTCTAGATGTCTATAACTCAATAGTGAGTGAAGTTTCTCGAACACAAAGACCATCACTGACATCTCAGACAACCTTTACCATCTCCTCGTTTCCTTTTTTTTGCCCTGAAAATAAACCAAGTAGTCATCATTGGGATCACTGCTCCTCTGGACCTGCATCAAAGGTCTTCCTAAACACAGGTGGATTCTGCAGCCTTGCGAGGGGCTCTGCCTCTTCTCCGGCTCTAAGCCGTCCGATCCCAGCTCCCGGTGGCGGCGCGGAGATGGACGGGTGAAGAGTGAGTCACCCAGGGCGCTCCACTGGGCTCCGCCCCTCACCTTGCCGGCTCAGTGCTGGGGCCCGCGAAGGTGCGTGCGGCGCTCGATGATTGGTCGAGAACCAGCACTGCCGGGTTCCCATTGGCTGCTGGGACCTCTTTGTTCCCGGTCTCTGCCGCAGGACCGCGGTGGCCGACTGCGCAGCGGAAGTTCGACGGCGCGGGCTGAGTGGCTGCGGCTGCGGCGCCTCCCGCGGTGCTCGCAGTGGAGCGGGAGGCCAGCCTAGTTCGGGCATGATATCCGGGACAAGGACGGATCCCTCCCATCCCTCCGTCCGACGTACCACCATGGACCTGGAATCCAAAGTGATGAAGGTAAGGGGGCTGGGGTCGTGACTTCACCTGAGCGGGCGGCGCCGCCCCCTGGTCACCATGGGCGAGTGGGGCCCAAGGACCGCCCGGCGGCGTCCCAGGACCCCGGGTCCGGGGAAGGGCACCTCGAGGAAGCGCGGGGGGGTGGGGGTCCCGGCGGGCCCGCTCCTCCAACCCGGGGATGCTAGGAGCTTCCTGCGGCGAGGGATGAGGCTCGCCCAGGTCCCCTCGCAGAGGTTAGGGGTGATCAGAACTTTTCCTGACTGTTTCAGAGACCTCTTCCTACCCCGGCCCCGCACAGGACCAGGCTGCGGGGAGAGCAAGTTCGGGCTAGACCCTGACACATCTTCCTGTGTCGGGAAGTTCAGCTCTACCCCGCCTGCCTGTGTGGTGTAGGGGCGCTGATGTGGACTTGACACACACAGACACACACCGCCCCCCGGGTTCTGAAGTGAGTGTTGAATTCCTGTGCTTTCTCCCCCCCCCCACACACACACCGCCCCCAGGGCTCTAAAGTGAGTGTTGAGTTCTAGTGCTTTCTTCCACGCCCACGGGGGCCTGATAACAGATAACGCGATGATGTATTTATTTAGGTTTGGTCACTCAGCACACTGTCTGCCAGAGCCCCACCTCTCAGAGAGTTAACACCAAATGTTCCCCGGGTTAGGCAGCCGGCCACCCACAGCCACTTATGGTCCCCTGGGGGAAGGGTTTCAACCCGACCCTCCCGCAGCTTTCCACCCCCCGGGGACCAGGACACCACCAGAAGCCCTGCCTGGGTCTGTGGAGTCTGAGGGTCGCTAGGGGGTAAGGGGTGGGGACCGGACTGTGACTCAGTAAGAACACTGATGTCACCCACATTCTGGTGTTAACCTCTGTGTGAAACCGTCTGGTTCCTGGGAATTCCCCGTTCACTTCGCAGGAAACTGAAGCTAGCAGTACCTTATCAAATAAGGAAGTTGTGCACAGAGAAAAGAAAAAGCAGAGAAAACTTACAACTTCTCTCACTCAAACATCTATGGTACCGTCTTAGGTAAAAGCAGTTTTTCTCACTTGAACATTAACTCCATTTTGTGCTCAGAATTGAATTTTTGAGCCGATATGCAAATGCAAGGTGTTTTGTAAGAAATCTGTCGGCCACTTAAAACTAGAGTGGGAAACCTGTTCCTTAGTTCCATAGGACTGAAATCAGCACTGACCAGGGAAGAAGAGGAAAGCAAGTAAATTCTGAGAGTAGTATAATTACATTCTGTTCCCTTTCCAGTTGATTTTTTTAGATTTCTCATGAATAACTTGCCAGCATATCATGTTTTGCTGACTCTGGTTTACAATGATGTATGATGGTGTATGTATGCCTGAATTTTGGGGGGGACAGGGGAGGAGGCTCTACTTGTATATAAAGATTCTTTCTCAATACTTACTAAAATTTTTGGGAAGAAATGACGAATGTAGAAAATGCAGAGGATTTTTATGGCAAAGACACTTTTTTATGACACTATAGCAGGGAATATGTGTCATTAGACGTCTGTCAATTACCAAAAGTGAACCATAATGTAAAATATGAACTTTGGAGATGGTAATGTGTCAGTCTGTTTCATCAGTTGTATAAATGAATTTCTCTGATGTGAGCTGTTTGTAGGCTGTCATGTGGGGCATTTGTCCTTTCTGTTCAGTCTTGCTGTGAACCTAAAACTACTTAAAATAGTTTGTTCAAAAAAAAAGCCAACACCCAAAAGCATTTTAAAAACTCGTTTACAATTAATTCTGACAGGAAAAGTCCAACATTAAAAAAATATGTACTTGTAAGAGAAGAATCTGCATAATTACTTATTAGTAGTTTCTTAAAGTTTCAAAATGTGGGTTAGGATAAGTAATGCTTTTGACATGTCATATAGTTTTCCTTCTCCATCCCCCTTTTTATTCTACAAGGATATTTTCAACCAAGTATATGAGCCCTTTCTGAAATTGAACTCAGCTTGACCCCATTCCAAGAACTAAAGGCTCAGGCCTGTAATTCTAGCTACTCAGGAGGCTGAGATCTGAGGTTCAAAGTTCCAACCCAGTCCAAGCAGCAAACTCTGTGAAACTCTTATCTCTAACATACTACTCAAAAAAGCAGGAAGTGGCTCAAGTGGTAGAGTGCTTGCCTTGAGTAAAAGAAGCTCAGGGACAGTGCCAGGCCCCAGAGTTCAAGCCCTAGACCGGCAATCCCGTAGCATTAATAAATCCCTCTTTCATTATGGCATTCTCAGAACAGGGTCCTCAACCAGTTAATTGGAAAGGGCAAGAAGACAATAAAGGCATGTAGTTAACCAACCATATCCTCACTCTTGCTTTCTAGGGGACCTATCAATGACAAATTTGATTTTCAGTGAAATAGACAAAATGTTTCTCAGTTTAAAACAGTCTGAAGATCCCAGAAATACATTTCTATCTTATCTATAATCTTTTGTTGTTGTTGTTGTTTTTCCGGTACTAAGACTTGAACTCAGGGCCTGGAGCTCTTGATTGTTTATTTCACTCATGACTAGGCCTCTAGTATTGAGCAGTGCCTCTAGTTCTGGCTTTGTAAATTGTAAATTTCCTTGTAAATTAGATATAAAAATTTCATTTGTCTTCCCAGACTAGCAGTTCCCAGCCTCCAGTGTCTAGCTTAGCCTTATCATAAAAATAAACTTACATTGTCTTTAGAAGTTGTTTTCAAACATACATGAAGAAGAAAAATTACAAGATTATTATTAGCCGAGCCTACTTTGATACTTAGAGAATTTTCCGCTTGAAAGGATCCATCACATCCATGCCAGGGGACCACACAGAGGCAGACAGGCACAGGAGAAAGATTATTACAAGGTTTATTAGAGGAGCTATATTTCCCCCGGAGAGAGAGCACATGGCGGCCTCCACTATCTAGGTAGTAACAGGGTCTGGGGGTAGGAAGTGAGGTAGATGGGAGCTCAGGTGGGTCTGGGTGAAGAGAGGGAGGGGCCAGCTATATGGTGGGAACTCCAGGGCAGGGAGGAGCTCAGATCTGGGTAGAGCTGAGGACCAGAGGTGGGCATAATGCTTACATTCCCTTCTCTGTTGTTTAAAAAAAATAGGGGGTACCAGGCCGGGGCAGGGGATATGGATGGAGGTCGTTTCTTCTGGAGCTACTTCCTGCTGTAAAGGGGCGAAATAGTCAGGGGTCTCTGGTTTGTTGCTCAGCCAGGTACCATCCAAGAAGCATCTGCTTGACAGTGGTTGGTAAAGGTCCTCCTTTTTCCATGATAAATAGTTATCTAAAATGCAAAACACAATTAATAAAAGGCAAAAACTGCTGTCAGCAGAATATGCCATGGAGGAATTGATTTCCAGAAGGCACTATCAAAGACCCGAATTGCCTTTTCTGTCTTAGATTGGAGACATAACATGGTACATGACTCCCGGCATCCTGGAGGAGGGGGAGTAAGACTTTTTCTGCTTTAGGATCACAGTAACCTGATGAGGGGGTAGTGGAGATATTTAAAGGTACCACAGCCAACGGGTGTCATGGGCTCTTTTGGCTACTTCCTGCTGGCATGGGAATATCAAGGAATCCCTGGAGCTGGGGGTCTTTAGGGTCCGGGTCTGCAATGGGCAAGGCAGGGCAGTGTAAGTGATGTCTCCAGTTGACTGAAGGAACAGGATGGCCTTGACTTGTTCCCAAGTCGTATGACATAGGAGAACACACATTGGCATGGGCCAGAAAAGTCCCATAATAATCTTTCTCCTGTGCCTGTCTGCCTCCGCATGGTCCCCTGGCATGGATGTGATGGATCCTTCCATTGATCCTTTCACCACTCATTTCCTTTTTGAAGGAAGTAGTGGTTTGAGTATTTGAGTGCTCCTTGACCAAAGGAAGGCTCAAAGTTGAAATAAAAATATAACTATATAGAACTAAATTTGACTTTAACATGCATGACATTTTTTTTTCATCCAAAGCTCTTATCTTACATTGTTGATTTCATAAGAAATTCCTCCAAGCAGATAATAAACATCTGGGGGGGGGCGTGGGGGAATGTCAGTCCTGGGCTTGAATTCAGGGTCTGGGAGCTGTCTATGAGCCTGTTGATGCTCAAGGCTAGCCCCTCTACCACTTGAGCCACAGTTCCATTTCAGGCTTTTTTTTGGTGGTTTATTGGAATTAAGACTTTCCTGCCTTGACTGACTTTGAATGACAGTCCTTAGATATCAGCTTCTTTCATACCTACGATCATAAGGCATGAACTGCAGGCACCTGGCTATCTTTTTTCCCCCTATAAAATGATTTAGGATTATTTTAGGAATATCTTTACTAAACAGTGAGTTAGGTGATGAATATTATTATAGGGTTCTTGATTTTTTAAAGAAGCACTTGTCCATATCATTCATACAAATATGTGTTGATTACCAGTTTAACCCACTATCACAGAACAGAGGTTTTTATAATTCGATTTAGCTTTATTTTATTTCGTTTGAAGTAAGTGTGCAGTTGTTAAAAATGGAGTAACTAGGTTAATTAGACCAAGTTTTTGTTTTAGTATTTTAAAGCAGAGTTTGACTTTTATGTCTACTTTTTGTCCTCTGAGTTACTCCTCTGGGCCTTTCCCTTACATCTGAATGCCCTCATCCTAATTGACTTTGTGTCACCATAGTCTGTGTCTGCTTGACTCTGTTTCCCCTTGCACATACCTCCCAGGCCAAAAAAAAAAGAACCTCTCCAAAACAGTAAGCTTTGAGAAGTAGAAAGAAAGTCTCAATTTGTGATGAATGGTAAATCATGGCCCACACCAGCTATTTTCCTCTTTCCATTCTTTAATGAGAATAACTTTTTGTTTTCTTCTTTAAAAACATGCCAGAGAGAGAAAAACCTCCTGGAATTCCCCCTGTGCTGCCTAAATTGCTGCAGGGCTTTAACTCTACTGTGCTCATTTTTCACATTCTTTCTAACCTCTTTTGATCCACTCTGACATTTTGCATACTTTCCTTAGGACTCATTTTGGTAT